GGGGGGGCTCTGCAACTTACCTGGCTGCTTCTTGCTCTGACTGAGGGCTGCTGGGAGCAGGGGGCGGGGCTTGTTGCATGTGCCCGCCCCCTGGGCTCTTTACTGCCGGAGTTCTGCTCCTGTGCGCTCCTGCAGGAAATGACCCCTGGTTTTATGAATTTTATTTTATATACTTTGAAAATGGTCCTATAGCTTAGATTTGTTGTGGGAATTTTGGGGAAAGGCATGTCAATAAGGTCAATTTATACGCCAAAATCATCCATGAATGGACATGTTCATATGGAGCAATTATTCTCTCATGTTCCCAAGGAATGGCTGGGTGACTGTATGGCATGGTGGGGCTGTTAATCTTTCTAGTATTATTCCTAAGGTACTGAAGGGCCAGGAAATACCTAAACTTGAGTGGATGACGTCTAAAAGGCACATGAACCATTACTGGCTTCAGAAGAATGTGTGTATTTGTAATGAGATCGCTGAAGTCGTGGTGGGAATGTATTGGATTAATGGAGACACATTAAAATGTTCAAAGGAAGTGGGACGTGGACAACACTGGACATAATATTGTTGGGCAATCAGTGAAAAATCAGAATAAATAGACTAAGGCTGCGATGACACACACTAAATAATCCACTTTCAATGCACTTTTGAATTGGATTTTGCCAGTTCACACAATAAAAATCCAGTTGGAAAGTGCATTGAAAGTGGATTATTTAGTGTGTGTGATTGCAGCCTAAGACCAGCAAATATCCTTCACATAACATTATTGGGTCCTTTCAAAGACTGTGGTGATCACTTGGAGAGATGGGGGTGCCTTCTGCTTCTACTGTTTTGTTTCTTGGTTCATCGTTCTGTCTGCGGTGGAAAGTAGCTGTCTCCTTGCACCTTACTGCAGGTGGAAAATGGTCAGACTGTCGGGACTATAAAGACACAGATCTCCATTCGTTACATGTTTATTAGCTGCCAATTTGTATACTATGTCCCTGATCGAGAAAGTGGCCTCTTCCTTGACAGGCATAATGTTGAACAGCTCTTTACTACATGCACTGTACACTGTGTGGAATGCCTTTGTTGGTGGACTCCACATGGGAACTGTCATATATACTTGGTTCTGGGCTCTTGAAACGACAGTCTCTGGATTTGAGCATAGAAAGAAAATACATTCGTAGCCATATGGGAAATTGAATACTGTCTGCTAAAAATAAAATGTTATGTAAGAAGAAGATATTCCAAAGACAATAGACTAGGGGCAGTTTTCTTTGCCTTTGGCATAACCCATTACATCATTTCTAGGAGACGCAGTTGCCAGGAGTATGAAGGACCCTTTTTGAAAAAGGTTTATCTGAGTTATTCTTGCTCAAACCCCACCACAAAAGGGAAACCATTCCTGATTGTTTGTTCTGACATTTAAAAAAGGACATGGTTTTTAGAATAAATTATTTTTAAACTACTATAAGTACATGTAGCACAGCAATCAATGGTATCGCCTCTTCAAGCCAATTCTTCCTGTCCAGTAGTCCAAGCCTCCCTCCCACCTCTCTCTCCTTCCCTCCCACCTCTACTCTCATTCCTCTTCAGTCTTCATTTTTTTTGCCAATGGCATTACATAATAAATAGACATTTCTAGCCTTAGCTCTTAACAGAGAATTTGTAATCAAAACATGAAGGGTTGGATGCTGTGTGCTATATCCACTTTCACAAGAGTATTGACTCAAGGGGGGAAATAGGGAAGTCATTATAAGTTAGTCCTTGTACAAAGTCGACTCAACTGTATCCCATTTTGTGCTTCTGCTAGCACAGGATGTAGCACAAGATATATTTCAGCAAGCCTACAAACAAAGACTTTCTTTGATCAAGTCATATCACACCTCCAGAATGAACTGTAATGACTGCCTCAAATAGCCTTTTGGTTTTTGCCCTTAGTGACACTGATCAGCAATGAAAGGACAGTACTTGATCTTACAGTAGCTTGTACAGAATGTCTTGCACAAATGAAACGGCATTGAGTAAAACTTCTCTCCCGTTATTGCATGGCAGGATCCAACCTGTTCCTTTCTTAGATTCATCCAAGAATAAAAATAAAAGAACACTAAAGTCACTGTGTTCTTCACAAGGTGAGGAGTATCAACAATGACAGTCAAAGGTCATCGGATGTATAACTGGAGTCCTACTGAATTGTACATTGTATGTCTTATGCTGCCTGATTTATTTTTGATGCTTTGTAATCTGCTTTCAGTCTCATCAAGAAAGGCAGGGTATAACGTAAATGAACAACTGATTCTTCCCCTGGTTACCCCTGCAACCGCCTCCGTTGCAAATTTTGATTGTAAGCTCCTTAGGACAGGGACCTTTCCCCCTCAAGTGGAATGCACTTGTGATGTTGTATGGTTGTTGTTGCTGCTGCTGCTGTTGATGATGATGTAGATAGTGGCCTGTATCTTCCACTCAGCAAGATTTGAAACTTTCCTCCAGTCTAAGAAGCCTGCCTCTAACTTAAGTGGCTTTTCTGCTGGAGGAAGAGCCAATTAAGTTGTAGGAAGTCTTTGTAGGCTGGAGGGGAGGTTTGATTTTGCAGAGCAGAGCCAGTGGTAATAATAAGCCCCTTACAGCTTATTGGCTAGTGGGCAGGGCTTTTTTTGTAGAAAAAGCCCAGCAGGAACTCATTAGCATAATAGGCCACACCCAACAGCAGGGAATCATTAGCATATTAGGCCACACCCTTGGCATCACAGCTCATTAGCATATTAGGCCACACCCTCATGTTACCAGAAGTGTGGTCATCCAGCCACACCCACCTTTTGCTTCTTATTCTGTTTACCTTGTTTGTTGTCAAAACCCAGGGCTTTTTTTTGGAGCAGGAACTCCTTTGTATGTTAGGCCACACACCCCTAATGTAGCCAATCCTAATGAGTTCCTGCTGTTGGGTGTGGCCTATTATGCTAATGAGTTCCTGCCGGGTGTGGCCAACTCCGTTCCTGTGCGTTCCTGCCCAAAAATAGCCCTGCTAGTGGGCATGTGCAAGCTATCTGAGGCATGTATATCGCCTGAACTGATGCTGCTGCCTTATACTGAATCAGACCCTTGGTCCATTGAGGTCAGTATTGTCTACTCAGACTGGCAGCAGCTTTCCAGAGTCTCAGGCAGAGGTCTTTCATATCACCTGGCTTTTTAGCCATTGCTATAGCACAATAGAAAGGTAATATAAAACATTGTGTGAACGCAGCCCTGGTCACTTGTCCCATTGAAATTTGACCTTTGGACTTTGAACACTAGGGCACTATCGGCCCGGGTCACATGGAGAATTTGCCATGTGAAAGGCACAAATGCTGGGTGGATTTTCGGGGCGCGATCACACCGCAACATCTGGCAAGCATAGCGCACACGTGGCCAACCCATGGCATGCCGCCGAAGATGCACAGTTAAAAAGTACCTGCAAAGATCTACTAGCAAATGGTTTGCCACGGGCTGTAGACGGACTTGTTCAGTGTGATCACACCAGTGCGCACCTATTCCCTCCGGCCGTCCTCTTTGCAGTGCATGCCGAAGGACGAAACCCCGGTGTGCCGCCGTCGCGTCTGATCGCGGATCAGAATGTGACGGTGCAAATAGCCACGCCTCCCCCCGGCGTTTTCTGGCACGTGTGGCTGGGGCCATCCTATAATACAAAGAGCCTTTGAAATGGCCCTCATGGAATGCCACTCATGGAATGCCACCCTAGGTGGTGCAGAACTGATTTCACAGCTGTTTGGATCTCACCCCTTGGAAACATATTCCCTGTAGGCTTCTACTTTGATGGCTTTGAATACTTCTCTCCCATGAGTCATTCACTATGGCGTGATGGTTTAGGAAGGAGAACAAGACTGACATGTTGGTGGTAAAGTAACTGACAATGGACATTCGCCAGGTTGAAGGACGGCACCAGAATTGGTATTCCTGTTATGATTTGTAGACATGCTTAGGTGTTCTAATTGGGGCAGCGTTCACGGATCTGTTGCCTGAAAGGCAAGCTGAATGTGATGACTGCTAGCGTTGAGAATGATTTGCGAGCAGCAGGAGTGAGTCAGGCTGTATCAGGGTCCTGGCCTCTTTCGATTGCTGCCAGCCTGCTGTCACGCAGCATCACTCAAGTAACAATGCTGCATTTTTTATTCAGGTTGCTAAGCAGTCTTCGTTCTGGGAATCCTACCATCATTCTGAAGATGGGGAAGTTGCAATACAATTTGTTGTTGCGATATGTTTGCAGTCTTTCCGAAAGCACGTTTTGATAGGTTTCTATGTTTTGTAGCCTTTTTCTTTTACCCTTAAAATATTGCTGTAGCAGAATTTAGCTGTCCCTGCTCTTGAATGTTCATGTGTTGGTAATTCAGGATTTGACAAAATGATGAGCAGAGCTTTTCTCATGGATTGAATCTAGGCTGCCTCCCCCGGGGACTGGGGGATTTCTAGGAATGACATGGGATATGGCTAGAAGACTGAAGAGGATAATAGGGGAGAGGAGTTGGCAGGAGATGGTGGTATTGGATCCAACATAGTTTGTGGGGTTTTTTTAAACAATATTGCTTTGCATAAAAGAGAAGAAAGGTTTT